CCTTTATTATGTTTCCCTTGGACTTTTGTAGTCATTACTAACAATGCTTGTGTTCCTGAGCTAAACCATCTCTTTTAATAAATTCTACTTTGTTCATCAAACGTGGATTTACTTTGAATGAATGGGGAATCGGACAGCACCCCACTGGAAAGAAAAGAGAACTCAGTCGAACACCTTCACCAAAAGCAGGTTTGTCATAATACTTTCAAAGGAGAATGGAATGGCTACTCCCGGACCAAAAGTGGGAGAAGGAAGAAACTGGTGCTGCTGCGAATGCAGGGGTGATGGTGGTGCACGTATACACACAGACATCTGTACTTTTAAAACATATATACAAAACACAAACACGGCTGACAGCTGTCCAAGTTGGCAAAGAACCTAAGAAAGCATACTTGAAGGAGGTTGTGCCACTCCCTCTTTCCCGACACCCTGCAGTCTTCGGAAACCAGATATACTGGCCCAGCAGAGTTTCGGAAGAGGTGTAGGACTGGGCACACGTGTTAGTGGAAAGGGCACGGGTGGGCACAGAGCTACCCTGCAGGCAAAAGAGGCTCCAGCAGAAAGATCGCTGTTTGAATCCATCCAGTTCTGCATTTTGGTGGGAAGCCCATCTTCACTGCCGGTACAAGACGTGTGTCACAGAGTCCATTCACATACCTTGATCAGCGTACCTCCGTGCTTTGCCCTCCAGGGCACGGCTCTGCCCCTCCAGCCGAGTCGTGGTGGCGGCATGCACCTTGTGCTCCTGCTCCATCACATCCTCCAGCTCCATGAACCGCTGCAAGGAAGGGAACCCAAGAGGCTCAGGAAGCTGCTCCCACCTTCAAAATGCTAATCCTCGGAACTCAAGGCCGGGTTCTTAGGGTTCCCAAGAGGTTTCCCATCCACAGCACTGCCAAGGAGAGCTGTATCATGTGCCCCCAAGGACACTGGCATAGTAACCTTGGCACAATTTCACCATGACATGTCCCCATGTTCAGGGCCGGCTCACTCACTAGGCGAACTAGGCAGTCGCCTAGAGCAGGGCGGCCCTTGGGGCGCCAAACTGAACCCGGCCCCATACTCTGGGAGTTTCTTGATTATTTGTGTTTTTCATTCTTCCTAAAATGCATTTATTTTTGAAAATTGGTGGACGCACCGGGAGGGGGCGGCGCCAGAAGGGATCCTCGCCTAAGGTGCAAAATAAGCTGGGGCCGGCCCTGCCCATGTTCTCCCCCCAATTCCTTGCACTGATGGGAATGGCAGCCTCTGAGCCCAGACGCTCACTGATCCTCCTCAGCTTCAGCATACACCACAGCTTCCCCCCCCTTCTACACAAGCTGTACAGTCAACCTGGCCCCCACCCCAGATCCCCATAAACTCTGGCTTTTTAATCACTCCGACACCACTCTCAGCCCTGACTTGGATGGCCCAGGATAGCCCAATCTCATCAGATCTCAGAAGCTAGGCAGGATCGGCGCTGGTTGGTACTTGGATAGGAGATCACCAAGGAAGCTCAGGGTTGCTACACAGAGGCAGGCAACGGCAAACTACCTGTTCGTCTCTTGGTTTGAAAATCCAACCGGGTTGCCGTAGGTCAGCTACGGTACCACTTTCCACCCCCACCATATCACCCGCAAAATGAAATGCTTGCAGGGGCATAAGGATCATCTTCCCTTTGTGGGGAAGCTTGGAAATTGTTGCTTTTTATAAAAAGTTTAGCAAAGAGTAGGAGAAAGGGGCAGGAGGGGTGGAGTATTTGGGGGAAGCATGACAAGTTTCTAAAAATCACGCATGGTCCTGGAAAGATTGAATAATTTCTCCATATTCATTCTGCCTGTATGCCACAACGCCCAGCGTCATTCACTGGACCGCAAGTTTAAGAAAAACAAAAGGAAGAAATTTAAACAGTACAAAAGCAACCCAGGGAGCTCCCTGCCAGTGTTCCCTCTAAGCTGAGTTAGTGTGAGCTAGCTCACCGTTTTTTAGCCTCCGGCTCACACATTTTTATCTTGGCTCAGGAAGGATGCCTCCAAAGCAACTAATTTATGCAGTAGCCAAATTGCTCACTCACAACTTTCATGCCAGTAGCTCACAAAGTAGAATTTTTGCTCACAAGACTCCATAGCTTAGAGGGAACATTGCTCCCTGCTATAGGATGCTGCCCAGGGAACCAGCATAAGTGACTGTAATAAGGGGGGGAGTGGTTTTTTTAATAGTTTATCTTTTCCCATAACAAAGAAAAATGAAAAAGTATATACAACATATTTTTGGAGTTTACATTATACATGGGGGGGAGTGTTGAAAATATAAAGGGTAGATCCAGCAGTCATCCTCCCCAAAAGTAAAGTTTTTTTAGAGTACCTTTTTGGATACCTCACGCTGGAAATTAATGCTAAAGGCCGGTATCCGTTGCCATCAGCTTTAAACTTTCACCTATTGCCAGAATGGCAATACCTGCCTTTCTGCCACCCCCAACAAATGGCGATGTAGGCAGGAACTTAGTTTCTCTCTCGCTCACGCACGCACGCACGCAAACACACGGGAGAGTCTTGCCAGCGCGGGGCCTGCCAGGGAGTCCTGGTTGCCAACCTCCTGTCCAGAGACTGCAGCCCTCCCTTCCGCGGGCCGCCCGCCTGGGGGATCCGAGCGCGTCTCCGTATCCCGCAGCGCTCCAGGTGGACGGCGGGCGACACTCACCTCCTCCGCCCGCTTGCGGCCGGCTCGCTCCCGCTCGTACTGTTCCAACAGGCGCAGCCGGTCGTCGCGCAGCCGTTCCAGGGACTGGTCCCGCTCCCGCACCTGCCCGCAAGCCCTCTGCAGCGACTCCAGGACAGAGACGAGCTGCGGCAGGAGCCCCGACACCGCTCCGGGCCCGTGGGCCCCGACCAGCCGCTCCAGCTCCCCGTACAGGCCCCCGGCCATGGCGGACACCAGCTCCTCGTAAGGCGCGGGGCTGGCATCCCCGTCGCCCCCAAAGGTCTCCTCGGGGTCATCCATCCTCGGGGCCCGCCGCTCCACCCGCTGCGCCGGCCAGTCTCCCCCTTCGGATCCCTTCTCGCCGGGCTTCTCAGCCCGTTTGCTCCAACCCCCGCGAGCTCGCCTACAGCCTCCTGCCGCCCTGCCTCCTGTCCTTGGCCCGAGAGAACCCAGGAGAACGGGCACCTCGCCTTTAGCGACTTCCTGCCCTCTCAGCAGCCCGGGATCTTGACTTCTCCTGCCTCAACACCCATCCGAGTCCTTTTCTCCGCACCCGATTTCACCCTCGTCCTGCTTCCTTTGCTTTCTAAGCGCTGACGGACAACTCCCCCCCCCCCCCCCCTAACCCCTAGGCGCCGCTTGAGCCACCGCAGCTCCGCACCCCTCGCACCCCTTCGCAAATGCCAGTTCTCCCTCCTCCTAGGGCTTTTCGCTTCCAGGCTCTAACCACTAGCGCCGCTCCCTCTTAAGGATCTTTGACCTCCGCACCGTCTACCTAGAAAAAAAAAATCCTCGGATTGGGAGGACTCTGCCCACTGAGCCCGGCTCCACTCCTCTCTTCCCCCCAGATCCTAACTTCATGTCACTTTGCAAGTGGAAAAGCAGGCGGAGCCAGAGCCTCCAAGGACAGCCAATGGCGCAGGAAGAAAGTGTCAAGAGCAACCAATTGCGCGTTGCGCGACGCCTGGGTGGCCAATGGCGCGCGGAGGAAGGAGGCTTCCTCCAAAGGGCCGGCTTCGAGGCGGGAGGGGGGACAAGTGGTAGTCTTAACTTTCTGCTATCACATGATCCTGGGTCATATGATCTCTAAAAGCGGGTTGGTGTGCGGGCGTGCCGCACGTCTGAATGCCTGG